GTTCATATATAAGTAAATTTTATATATAATTATACTGTATATATTCTTTATCATTCATTATTATTGATTTTATTCATTATTTAGTGTTTGAATAAAAATTGGTAATAAAATTGTAGTCATTATTAAATGTATATAATAATAATAATAATAATTTTATTTTAAATAACACGTAATGAAATACAAGTCATAAAATGTATAGATTAAAAATCATTATAAAAAGTTTTACATTTAGTTAAAAATTGATTAAAATTACATTCATTTCTAATATCAATTGGCAAAGAGTTAAACAATTCAATAGATTTAATAAAGAAGTTTTTGTCACAAAATTTGTTTCGTGTCTTTGGTGTAACAATCAGTTTACCATTCCTTGTATTTGCAGATAAAACATAATGATTACACCATTCAATTGGTACACCATTTAGACCATTGATACATAATAATATGTGTTTAAGATAAAAATATTTATGTTTTAATTTCAAACTATTATTATAAATTTTTAAATATTAGTTATTCAATTATTAATAACATAATTATCTAATCTAAAAATTAATTACCTGGAATAATTTAGGAGTATTATTATGTTAATTATAACCATGTTAAGTTGTAAGTAAATGATTATATTTGATAGCTGTGTCAGTTGGTGTGAGTTCGTGGACACTTGTGATTATATCATTGGAAAGGTATCTTACAATCTGTAAGCCATTGGAGTCCCAGCGCTGGCAAACAATATCACATTCCTATCGCATGATTGCCATTATATGGTTGGCCAACATTGCTCTCATGTCTCCCATCGCGTGGTTAAGTCAATTGCTGCCAATCCATACATCAGGTATATTATTATTATTTATTAAAATGTCAATTTTAATAAAACAATTAATTGAACTAATGAACTTCTATATATTTAGGAAAATTTAAATGCCGTGAAGTTTGGCCATCGGATACAACCGAAGAAATTTTCAATTTACTCCTATTATTTTTACTACTGATTATACCATTTATTTTAATGGCATTCAATTACGCTATGATAAGCAAAGAATTGTACGGAACTTTAAATATACTTCAAATTGGCAATCAAACCGATCGAGGGTATTATGCGGACCGAGTCAATAATAATGTGGTGAATTTCAGCAACAATCATCATAATTTTCATAACCACTTCATGACCTGGTCTGACAGTCCCTCCACATCCATGTCCGACAATAGTAGTGTTTGTAAGTGTATTAAACGTTATTTTTAGAATAAATAATTCATTAATTTTTTCATTTTTTAAATTATAGATAATAGTAATCATATGAGAGAAACATCTGTAAATTATTTGCCAAAAGGTGTTCAAACTGCTAATATGATGGTCAATGCAGTTAATAATGGTCATGAAAATACCGTGGTCAAAAAAGTTAAATATGGGTAATTTATCAACTATTATTAATTTTTAAAATTATGTATAAACAAAATTATGGATTTAAATGTTTTAATATATATTTATCACAAAGAAATTCAAACCGAATGTCAACTCAAATGATAAATAAAAAGCGAGTAATAAGAATGCTATGCGTTCTGGTGTTGGAGTTTTTTATATGTTGGACACCTGTGTATGTAATCAACATATGGGCACTTTATTGGCCTAAACAGGTATTGTCGCTGTGTTGAATGATCATGGTTTTATACTTGCATTTTTAAATTGAACTTTATTTACTCAATTTTAGATGTACTCAATGGTGAGCCCATCAATTATATCATACATTCATTTACTGTCATACCTGAGCTCGTGTACAAATCCCATCACCTATTGTTTAATGCATAAAAAATTTCGTGAGGTAATCATGTTGTGCAATTTAAATATAAGTTATATATAATACAACTTGCACAATTATATAATAAGTCACAAATATGATCAATTCCAAAATTATTACAATAAATGACTGATTATAATGGCCATGATTGATTTCATGATAGGCACTGATGATGCTGTGTCGAAACGGCGGTTCCCCAAACCGATATGCGATCAGCGATTTGGATCAGTCGAGTAGTACTAACCAGTCGTATAGCGCCGGAACCAACAGCACAGGCGTTGGTGTCCAACAATCAACTAATGCTATCAATATATTAAATAATAGTATTGTTGTTTACAAACAAAATGTTATGTAAATGTGTCTTCTTTATAAATATATTATATTGTGATATAAATTGTAACTTGTTAAATATAAAATGTAAATATAATTGAGTTGTTTTTTAATTTAATATTGTAAATTTTAATAATTGTCAATTAAAAGTTTAATAAACAAGTTTACTTAATAAAAAATCAGAAATTTATAAATACAAATGTTTACTAAATTTTAAGCCGGAATTTGATTGTACGGCACTAAAAGTATTAAATGCAGAGAAAGCTTAAATTTTTTGTTTTTCATTAACAAAATCTTGTTAATGACCATTTTGCAAATAAAATCTAATACAAAAATTGTAGTTTACATTATAATTATATGACTCGAATCCTTAATGATTGTACTTTCATTTTATAACAATAAATGCCGATTGCACCATAGGCTTTTGTAACATTACGACTGGCTTTGGCTATTGTCTATTTAGAATTAGAAGTGCAGTTTCTATTTAATCAAGATCTGTTGCATACCGATAGATAGATCCGTATGTACTGTATCCGACAGATGTCAATAAAGTACATGTTTACTCTTTGTTTTAATTTACAATAATTTAAATGTCAAATTAAAGTGAATATTATGCAATAT